CCGATCATTGATTTATAGGTTGATCCCAAGTTCCTGAGGAATATGCGTTTTGCGAAAAAGCATAATAAGAAGACGCGAAAAGTTTTGAAAAATTGAGTGACAACCGTCTTTAAGGGCTGCTTTTGGTGTTCACATCGTGTTTTGCTTTTGAATGGCGTGGACTTAGAATGCAGTATTGTTTTACATTTACTAACTCAGGTGGAGGTTTTGTTCATCGTACTTCTAGCCTTTGGATTGCGACAGCTATTTGCACTTGCATTCTCTGAGAGATGCGGTACTGTTTAGGGTGTAGCAGGAGTGGGCCAACCGTAACTTGTCTGCTGGATTTGATTTAGGACGTTGGCGTTGGCTTAGTCACGCCTGGTGTTCCGTTAGGCTTGGTCAGGTGGTCCCTGTAGGCGTTCAGCACCTCGGGGCTTGCACCGCTACTACCCGTGGTATTCAGTTGGGTCGCTCGTGAATTGTAGCCATTTGCCGGTGCTGGATGCTGGAGCAGGTTTGGGGAGCCAGGGTGGTTGCTGTCGGTTGCGGACGTCGCTCTATTGCTCTGGGTAGTTGTCATTGTCGAAGGATCGGGTGGCATCTGTGCCGCCTGGTTGGAGTCCCGGGAGTGTATGGTACGCAAACGTACGGAGGTTTGGGATCGTCTCCGTCCGCGGTGTTTGCTTGTCGTTAGTCGCAGCCTGGTGGATGAGCGGTGGCTCGCCGGTCTGGGTTGACTGCTTCCGTGAGTCGCACACAGCATTTGATCCTTTGAAAATTTCACCCGGGCATGGAGGTGCAGTTGAGGAGATGCGTCCGTTAATCCGCAGTTAGTTCGATGGAGTCGGGGCACTTCTAGTACGTCGCGGAGGGTGGGTTCAGGGTGCTTTTGATCAGTTTGTTCTTGTGTCGAGGGTGCTTTATGAAAAACTAAAAAGATGGTGGGTTTTACCTCGTGCTTCTGCGGGAAACTAAGTCACTTTCGGTGTGGGTGTGTTGTTTTCGTGCCGTGGTTGCAGCCTTAATGGA